CCTTAGGCCCTTACTGCAACGCTAATCCTAAACCCTTATCATACTCTATGTAAACCCATAAGCCCCCCTTTTCCTTTATCGCTGCTTCTTGCCTGCCAACGCATCCGAGGCTCCACAGAGGAGCAGCTGGAAACGCTGAAGGTTCTGGTCTGTCTAAAGTCTTCCTAAGACTCAGGTGTTCCTAAGGCGTCTATCAGGGTTCTTGTTCAGGGCTTCTTTTAAAGGGTTCCGTTCAAGGGGTCCTTCAAGGGTAATTGATTGGGCTTCCTTCTTAAAACCGAATAGCAGGAAGGAGGGATTGCTGCTTCTCAAGGATTTCAATTATCGGTTTAGCGCTCGCAGGGCTGATTCTGCAGCTGCGACATTAGGTTGTCGTTTAAACCCGCAACCCTACAGAACCTGCAGGGGATCCCTTCAATCCCCTAAAGCCCTATAGATCCGTTAAAAAAACCCGTAAACCCTAAACAACTCCTAAACCCTAAAGGAACCTTTAAAACTTTAAAGCAAGCTCCAAGTGGAGAGGTGGCCGCCGACACGATCCGCTTGTGTCTCGCCGCCGGACTCCGTGAATTCGTCCTGGAGGCTTCGGGGTCTAGGGCTTTGGGTTTCGAGGGTTCAGGGTCTATGGTCTAAAGTGTATGGTTTAGGGTTTAAGGTTTAGGATTCTTAAGGGCTTCGGGGTTTAGGGTTTCTAGGGCTAGGTTCCTGAGTCGTACCCTTTAGCCCTTTTGGTTTTTGGGTATCCTGGTTAACACCTAGGAAAAAGGACACCCTAATTATAAACGGGGTTACTCGGGAATCTAGATAGGGTTGTAGGAAGTTTCGGGTTTAACGGCCTTTATGCCTGAGAGTAGGGTTGTTTGAGTGTGGGATTTGGGCTTTTTCCGACCTGGGTTTTTTTTGGCTTCAGTTTAGGGTTCAGGGTTGAGGGTCTGAGTCTCTGGTTAACTTTGGTTCAGGGTTCAGGTGCAGACGGAGACAGAGCTGACTTTACTTTGGGGTGTCCTCTTATAATAGCCATTCTCGCCCTACTTTATGTTAACCTGGATATACCGTTTGGTTTCCGAGTTGCCGTTTTATGGCTACGATTTGGGGCTTAGGTTGTTGAGTGTGACGGTTGTTCCTCGGTTATCTGTGAATGCAGGACTGTAGCACCTAGCTTCACATTTTCGAACCGTCAGCCAGAGACTCTACCGGTCCAGCCTGTGGTCAGAGACCCCTCAATTAGGGAATCTAGCTTACATCAGAATATGAAGTCCCTCATGATTTACGGTAATTAAAGGGTATTGGGCTCTCTGGGTAGTCATGCAGCGCAGGAAGACTGCTTCGGCCATCGCCACGTACTGGCCAGTGACTTGGGAGCCAAGAAGATACCTAGACGCTCCACAGCAGTTCCTCTTTGTGGTTCATATTTAGAATCACGCTCCATGGTAGTTCGTTTTTGTGGTTCATAATTAGAATCCTACAAAGGTACGTAATCCCAAAAGGAACTACTATGGAGCCTATGGGTAGACACCTGCTTGTTCAAAGAGGGCTGGGGCCTCGAGCTTTTGGGTTTCAGAGCTTCGCGGTAATTTCATCCTTAAGGGTCCATGTGCCCAAACACGGTGCCTATAAGGCTTCCTACAAGGGTACCATGAGGGTTCTATGGGATTTAGTAGGGTTTGAGGGCCCATGTACCCAAATAGTATATACTTTGGTTCCAATGTACCTTTTTAGGGAGTACTTTAAGGCCCCCTGTCAACAGTAAGGAAAAGATAGCAAACTTGTAACAAACCCGTATGCCCAAATACAAGCTGGATACATGATTATCACCAAGTGCTTCATTGCTCACGAAGCAAACAATAACCTCAAATAAATCTAAAGGTCCTTGCCACATGTTACAACACCATATTACCATACACCGTTTTACTATCCTATACTACTATAATGCTATAATATACTATACCATACCGTACCGTACCATACGTTACTATATAAGACTATACTGTGCGATACTCTACCATAAATACACCGGCCGGCCAATGGAACTGTCAACTCCCTGGTATTACAGCTTATATGTCGACGGTTTGGGCTTCCTGATTCTGGCGCCACAGCAGTCCGGGTTGCAGCAAGAGCAGCAAGCGGCTGTACCTCGAAAATCACAAATGCAACACCCATATCCGAAAGCCCCTAAAGCCGTAAGCCCCCATTCCCTAAATCGCCTAAACCCTCTTGCCCATTTGGGCCTTCCATGACATATCACACAGCCACAGGCAAGGTGCACGACGGGCGCGCTGCCTACGTCGTTTCGCCTTGCGAGGTCGTCAATTTCATTTGCGAGCTTTTGAAGCACTGGAAGGGATGGTTCTCAAGACAGAACGAGGATGTACTTGAAGGGTCGGGAGATCCAGTAACTAGGCAACCAGTAGAGTTATAAGTACCTCAAAAGTGATCCCAATTGGGGTCGTGATACTTATAACTCTATCAAATAACTGCTTACCAAGTGCCCCGACCCTCCAAGTGTTTCAAATCCAGAAAGCATTTTGATGACCACTAACGGGTTACAGTGCCGAGACTCTGGAACAGATTGTTGTCAAAGGGCCGTAAGCCCCTAACCTCTTCAAAAGCAAATTGACGCCTGTGGATCCGACAAATGTCCCCTTACAACATCTAAGCCTTAAACTTGAAGCCTTCAAGCCTAACCTAAGTTTTACTTTGATTACGCGGCACTATATTGTCTCATCAGGTGCCATGGGGCAGTATGAAGTCACAACCCCCCCATGTCCTGTCGTTCAAAGGGCTTGGGGCTACAGGTGATTCCCAAACACCAATAAGGCGTCAAACCCATGTTGCGGCGGACCAGAGTGGACCTTAACCTCTCAACAACCAGCCTTGTCTAAGGAACTAGGGATCGACACTCCGAAGGGTGAGCCCGAAAAATGCAGGTTTGTCCAGGGTCAAGGGAGGCATTGCATGTATTTAGAACAGCGGTGCTGGCAAGGCTTACAAGCCGGACACATGTTGCAAAATGCTCCGGCCCTTCACATCAAGCTCTGCCTCCAACACTCAAATCCCTTGCGGTGTGCTCATGTGCAGAGTGCTGATTGTGTTTGTGTGTTTGGGGTTGTGGGTTCCAGTTTTCGTGTATCGTGTCATGCTTTCCCTAGTAGTCGAGTAGGTGACCTTTAACATTTTTGGGGTAGTATAGTCCCTATATATTCCCTATTTAACCAAAAAGGTTAACCTTTAGTTCCCCATGATACCCGACAAGTAGGTTTCCGAGGTGCATGACAATGAAACGCTGTACGACAACACTGTCTGGAAGCTGCCGCCTGCCATTGCCTCGCCTGCCGACTTCCGATTGCAACATACCCCAAGGGTCCAAGTACCTAATAATCATATACTCTCCAAAATCCTAACCTACATAACTACTATCCTAAAACCGAGTACCTAATTATTGGGTCCTTTGGACCCTTGGGGATACTACATGAAGCTATCCCCTTCTTGTAGGGCTTATGACAGTGTCCAGGGTTGAGGGTGTAGGATTTAGGGTTCCTGTGTTACTTGAAAGGGTCTCCTGTGCTACTTGAAGGGGTCTTTATCCTCAACTCGAGTGTGATAACCCTGCCATTATGATAGAGATCTCGTTAAGTATTAATAGTGTTCCCTAGTGGTCCCTGTATGTCCCTATATATGGCCGTTTTATAATCCCCCCAAAGCCCTATTCTAATTACGAAGGCCGCGATATATGCTGGAATCAGGCATTTTACTATTAGGGTTTGGGGGTTAGGAATTGGGGTTTAGGTCCATGAGGGTGATATGTAAGAGTGCTGCGTTGCGCCTAGAAGCTCCTGTGGTAGGCTCTGGTCTACTGTCGCGTAGTCCTGGCCACAATGAGGTTCAGAAAATTGCAGTGAGGCTCAGTGCGGGGCTCTCCCACTACTCAGGCGCGGGTATATACACTCCACAACACTCCCAGTCCCTTGGGCAGAGCAGTACCACATGCGAGGGCTTGAAGGTTCGCCGAAGGGTTTCGTTGATAAAGGACACTAGCACCGGCTTGAACAAAAATGTGGTAAGCGCCACGTTGCTGCAATCTTGCTGCTCCCCTCATCTTCGGTTCGATCTGGTCTCCATATTCTGAAATGCGGGGACCACATTCTTGGGCAATCTCTTCTTGGAGAGCTTTCAGCGACTGGCCGCATTCAACGCCCACGCTGGCAAACTGCTCTACCATTGTAAACAGAAGCTGCACATGCCGGGCAAGCCAGACCACGCTTGAGGTTGCCATCGGTTCGCGCAGATATTCCGACACTTGCTCGACTTTGTTGCCTCGACCAACGAAAACCCGGAGGTCTTTTTCGAATTGGGTGGACGAGGACAACATGAAGTGGCTGCCCACTCATTGCGGCATCACTGAAGCCGAAGACAGCCACACAACAGCTGTCCAAACAGTATCTCTTGAAGAGAACTCTGGCATGGTCCCGCGATGGCTCAAAAAATGAGATCCCAGGCAGAACAGAAGAGCTTGCAGCTGATGCCGAACCAACCCCCAACTTCACAGCCTGAACTGGAGGCCCTAAGCTAGAAATGGCAAAGCGCGATTGGGTTCATTGTGAACGGCATCGTAGCCACGTAGCTAGTTTGATGGAAACACCTTGAAGGCTAAACACATCAAACGTAAAGTGCTGAGCCTAAACCCAGAAAGCCTAAAACACTTGAAGCACCCTGAAACCTTACTGAGCCGCAAGCCCCAAGCAGTAAGCCCTAAAGCCCTAAGCCGTAATATAGGAGCCTGAATAATTGCCAGCACTATTTTGGGGGGGGCTCGATAATTATAGTATAATGGCAGCCAAAACCCTATTCCAATTAAGTCCCCTATATTATACCCTAAGGCCCCAAAGTAGTTCCTTTTCGGGGTTCATATATAGAATCCTATAGGGTGCTCCCAAAAAGGAACTACTTTGGGGCCTCTGGGTAAGCTATAAGCCGTATAAGCCGTAGCGGCTCAGGAGCGGATGCGCTCAAACTGGCTGTGCACGGCTTTTCTGGCCCTGGGCCACGGGGTTCCGCTCTTTCACGCAGGCAGGGTTTCGCGTTCAGGGTTTTTGGGTTTTTAGGGTTTCTAGGGTTTAGGTTTTTTGGGTTTAGGGTTTCTGGGGCGGTTTGGGATTCTGGATTTCGGGGTATTGCGTCTGCACAGCTTTGGGACGTCATATTACTTATTCATATGGCTTCAGCATTGAGGTAACTCTTATTTTCGATGTCTCGGATGCAAAGCGGTCCGTTTTGGGTGGAGTACTAAGTCATAGGATCTCAGGTGATCCCAGCATTCTAAACACTAGGACACTAGTTCTGCAGGCTTAAACCCCCAACGCCGACTCCCCTTAAACCCCTAGCGCCCACCAATGGAAAGTATCAGCCCAAAGCCCCAACAGCTCGCAACCCGAAAAACCGGCATGTTTTCGGTTCAGGGTCTTTGTCCCAGGGGTTCAGTGTTTTAGCCTGTTGGGTTCAGGGCTTGAGGGTTTGAGTCTTTGAAGTTTGCAGTTCGGTCCGTGGCTTAGGCTCAGGGCTTGGTGGTTTTAGGGTTCCGGTATTTTGCTTTAAGTTTTTTGTGTGCGAATGATGGCCGCAGTCCCGTGACCAAAAAGCTTTCAGGATATCGGTCTAGCATTTAGGGTTAACCCAAACAATGTAGGAGCTAGCTTACTTATATCATGGACTCTATAGGTTTATGGATATACTGTTTGCTCCCTATATAAACCTAAGGTACCTAACGTGTACGTCAAGGGTCGTCCAAGATCTGTAAACAGAATTTAACCCCTAAGACTAACCTCTGATCCGTGAGCCCTACACCTCAACCTAAAAGTTCACAACCCGTATAGAACACATATGAGCTTTTTCTTTTCATTGCAGTCCTTGCATTTAAACGTTCACAACCCATATAGAATACTTCTGAGCTTTTTGTTTTAACTGCAATCCTTGCACATTGTTTCTTACAGAAGCCTCTGCAGCACCGCTAGTGGAGTTGGAACCCTTTTAGCCTTTTAGCGAACCCATTACAGACCATAACCCGAAACCCTAAACCCCTAAACCCTAAACCCCTAAACCCTAAACCCTCAACCCTACACCCCTAAACCCCTAAACCCCTAAACCCTAAACCCCTAAACCCCTAAACCCCTAAACCCCTAAACCCTAAACCCCTCAACCCTAAACCCCCGATATTTCGGGGCCTTCTCAGAAGGAGACGAGCTCCTCCGATCGAAGTCTCTCGACCGGGACAGCTACAACAGCGGAGACTGGCACCTTGCATACTCATAGGGGGCTCAGGGCGTTTAGGGTATAGGGTTTAGGGTTTACGGTTTAGGGTTTAGGGCTTTAGGGTATATATGGTATAGGGTTTAGGGTTTGGGGTGTTTATGGCAATTTGAAGGCATTGAGGGCTTAAGGGGTGTTTGAAAGGGTCTCAAGGGGTTCTTACGTTTAAGGCTCTAAGGCCCGTGTGCTGTAATCAAGTCTCCAGGGTGCCACTTCAGGGGTTCCTCAAACACTAGGACCCAGAGTAGGCCCTTATTCCCTTTTTTAGGGTTCAGGTTCCCTTTTAAGCCCCTTTAAACCAAAAAGGGCATCCTTTTTATGCTTGGGTTACTCTTGGGTCTAGAACATGTCTACAAAAGCTGAATGATTCTAGAACGGTTTCTTTCTAGGTGATATGAGGGTTCTAATAGGGCTTGCAGCTTAGGGTTTATTGGGTTTCGGGCTTTAGGGCCTGCAGGTTAGGCTCCCCTCTTGCATTGCTGACCTCCTTAGAATTTAAGCTTCTCCGGCACCCAAAGGAGTTTGGAAACTAGGCTATTTTCTTACGGATCCGCCCACGGGATGCTTTAGACATGGAGTTTAGGAGTTCTGGAAATACCTTAACCTAGAAGTAGCTACTATAATTAAAGGTACCTGTGGGATTGTGGCTTGCTACAGTCAATGGTTCGGCCCCTGTGTTAGGAACATGCTGGCACACGTTGATTTTGCGAGACCGACCTTTACGCAGGCCATCAGAAAGTATAGAAGCTTGAATAATTAGTTGGGGCCCCGACTTTCCGCAAATACATGGGTGTTGATGTAGTCAAGTTCCGCTTCTGATCATGACCTGTGCTGCTTTGTGTCTAAAGGCTGGACTTCCGCGTAGGCCGATCTTTGAAGACATTTTTGAGTCGTATGGTATGCATATCTGTTCAGAAGAGACAACAGTAAATACAAGCAAGGGTGCCCTCAACAAAAACAGCACAGTTAATGATCGTCTGTCAGCAGAAAACCTGTATCCACGATTTCTCGTTGCAGGATTTAGCTAGTGGGTTGTAGGCTTCTAGGACCCAAAGGCGTTTAGCAATGAAGGTTTTTAGGTACTTCGGGTTTCAGGATTATTGTTTAAGGTTTTAATGGTGTAGGGTTTAGGGATGCTACGCCCTCAGTTCTGACAGTTAAACCTAAGCCCAGGGCCCCTGATGCCCCTGATGCCCTGAACCCTACGACCCTCAGAAGGGTTTGCCTTTGAAGCTTCATCTACAAGCCCTCGAGGACCTCAAAAACCCGTGCCTGAATCCTAAAGGATCAAAAGAACAATGCCGAAAGAAATTCTGAGTTGTAGTCCTCGCAAGAATGGCGAAAATAGGGACAGCACGGACGGGTATGCGGCATGGTTCACCACGCGACGTGCTGTTTAGGAACCCAGTATAGTGCCCGAATGCTCAGACATCCACGCCTGCGGCAAGACGCCCGGGTTAAGGGTTTATAGGGTTTACCCAAAGGCCCCAAAGTAGTTCCTTTTTGGGATTACCTTATAGGATTCTACATATGAACCCCCAAAAAGGAACTACTTTGGGGGGCCTTAGGGGTTGGGGACAGCATCGAGTCGATGATTCTGGGCTCGGAGCTCCCGGCCCCTGCTCACGCTTTTGCACCTTCTGCCTCCACCCGTCCCACCCTAGACCCTGTAGTTTTTTGTAATAATACCCTAGACATGCCAGAACGCATTAAGGAAGACCTTTCTGGTACGCTTGAAGACCCATGAGAGCCAAACAGCACTTCCCCTTTTGAAAGCCATTAATGAGGTTTAACCTCTTGGATTTCACGGGCGAGCGCTCTGCATTCGGCACGGGGCTTCCAGTGCCCTGGGCGCAGTTACATGATACGGTTGATGATGTAGACCCTGCATTACCTTAGTGACCCTAGACTTTGGGAGTTGTGGTATGGGTAATGCAGGATTAACATCAACCGTATGTCAAGGATTTAGGGTGTAGGGTTGAGGGAGGGTACGAGGTTTCATCACTCACAAAGCTTTTTGCGAAGTCAGGAAGCCAGGCGAAGGGTACACCTCCTAGCAGTGACAGGGTTTGCCCAGTTGTTCGGCGTGCAGTTGAGAGAGTTTTCGCCATCATACAATGTGGAGACAGCCCTAACCCTATGCCTCCAAGGACCTTATAGTTAAGGAAGGCCCTAGACCCCTTAAGGACCCCCGATATAGCCATAGTCTCCTTAGGAACTATTTTTTGTTTTTGTTCATATAAAACCCAAGAGAAGATTAAACATATTTTTGTTGCATGGCTCTAAGGGGGTATAGAATAAGGTCCCCGGAAGCCTTGGGTAAGCCTTAAACCCCCCAAGCCGCAAACCCAAAACCCTAAACCCCAAGGCCTAAACCCTAAACCCAAAACCCTTAACCCCCCTAACCCTAAAACCCTAAACCCCAAGCCCTAAACCTTGAACCTAAAACCCAAACCCTAAACCCTAAACCCCAAACCCAAAACCTTAAACCCTAAACCCTAAACCCGAACAGGTCGCCGACAAGAACCGTGGGAAGTGGGACATGATGAGACCTCTCCTAAGAGATCCGCGCTTGCAGCCGACTCCCGTGGCTAACTTGCAAGTCTGTGGGCTTCAGGGTTTAGGGTATAGGGTTTAGGGTATAGGGTTTAGGGTTTAGGGGCTTCAGGGTTTAGGGTATAGGGTTTAGGGTGTAGGGTTCAGCCTAGACCCCCCCAACTACCCAGAGGCTCCATAGTAGTTCCTTTTTAGGATTATATACCTAATCCACCCCAAAAAAGAACTGCTATTGGGCCTCTGAGTACCCTCTAATACACCCCAAATACCCACTATTAAGGTCCACAGCGGCTCTATTGAAGGGCTTTTGGTGGGTCCTGGAGGGTTTCGGCTTTACATAGGCTTTGCGGCTGAGGGTTTGCGGATTTGGGGGTTCGGGGATTCAAGCCATGCCAATGCGTTCTTGTCTAAACATTCTTCTTGAGGCCGGGGTGTGGGGGGGTACCCAAAGCAAGGAGTTTGGGGTTGCGGTGTCAAGTTGCAGGATGAGTGCCGGGATTTCACCCGGGCTTGAGGGGTCCTTGCCGGAACCCTGAGGGCTTAAGTCAGTCTGCAGCTTCGGGATGTCCTTTTGGTGGTTGCAATGGTCCTAGCATGTGGTCATGTCTTGCAGATGGTCATATGTCATAAAACTGAAGAGTGGCATTTACCCTCAGGTTCCATGCGCCTTTAAAGTGACTACTTTAGCGCCAAAGCGTTTCCTATAATTTTCTTATAAGTCCTAAACACCAAAGCCCACACCCGAAGCCCTCAATCCGTAAACTCCGCAAACCTGTGCCTGTAACTTCTACTATATGGGAGTTTCCGAAAATAGGACCCCCAAAAAAGGTACCCCTAATTTTCGGAAACTCCGAAATGGGCACGTGGATCCGTAGCTTAGCTCGGATTGCGATGAGCCACGTAAGGCGACCCATGTTAGTGAATTCGGGGTTTCGGGTTTGTACAGGACTTATAATGGAGTTTAAGGCTTACGGTACAGTGATTAGGGAATAGGGTATCAGGGTTTTAGGGTTTACCGTATATAGGACCCGGCTATGCAGAGCAGTGCCCCAAATAATGCCAGGATAGCTATTCCAGGATTGTGTGATTTCAGGTTTGGGGCTCAGGTCGTGGTGAAGCTCGAAGCCTGATGGGCGGTTGTCAAAACTATGGTCCCTTTTTGCGCACTTTTTGGGTCCTTAATTTAGTTTAGGGTTTAGGGTTTCGGGTCCCTTTTTGAGTACCCTACATATTAAGTGCCGCACTATATATGGGACCCAAAAAGGCACCATAATTTTGACAGCCGCCCTTATCAACAGATCAACCCTGAAGCTTCAACTCCAAGACCAACGACCCCAGCCACAGGCCAGCAGAGCTGCCCATCATCAGCCCATGGGTAGAGTTCCCTATGAACCCGTAAACTACTAGATCCTAAAACCCGAAACCCCTAACCCGACTTCCGGTAACCCCAGCTCACCCCCGGGCTGTTCGAGGGATCTATGCCACACATATACATACATACGTATACAATCGATCGTGTACATCACCAAATATTACATATGTATATATATATATATACACATATGTATGTGTGTGCATATTTATCTATACATATGTGTATGTGTACATCTATATATATATATATATATATACTTGCTTAGTTAGATTTGCGTATCATGTCTGATCATACTCCCTCTAATGACACCGTTTATGCTTCTTGCAGCTCCCGCACGAGGAGATGGCCCGAGCCACCATCGCAAAATTCTGCGACTTGGAACAGGGGAGCGTGGGCTTTGGGTTTGGGGCTTTAGGGCCTAGGGTGTAGGGCTTTAGGGCCTAGGGTTTGGGGCTTTAGGGCCTAGGGTTTAGGGCTCTAGGGCCTAGGGTTTAGGGCTTTGGGGTTTAGGGCTTTAGGGTTTTAGAGTTTAGGGTTTAGGGGTTTGGGTTTAGGGCTTCCCAGAGATCCCAAGACCCCTTAATTAAGGAAAAAAAGCTTAAATCATAGTATGAAGCCCTTCTTGATTTGAGGTACACTACTTAAATAAGGGGTTTGGGTTTAGGGCTTTAGGGTTTATATTTAGTCATAGGGACCCTTGGGGGAGTAGGGGGAGGGGGGGTAGGGGGCCTTGATGCCCATAATAAGGACCTAGTAATGCCTATTTAAGGAAGTAGAGTCCCCTCCCCCTTCTAGGGGTCCCTATGATTTAGGGATCCTTAGGCTTTAAACACACTAATCACCGGATGATGTTACGGGGATTTCCTAGACCGTCCTTCTACTTCGACCCTCCCATTAGGCCCTAAATACCTACTACTAGGGGCTGTATATTTGCCTGTAAATTTCGGTACAATCTTGGCCCTGGTTTAGTGTATGGCTGAGTGTAAGTGTATCGAATGCTGCTTTCATCTGCATACTGATCAAGGAGCAAATCCCGCACCCTAAAGCCCAAACTCTGCACCTTAAGCCGAAAAAGCTCAAGCAACAAAATCGATTCGGGTAGATGCCAAACCCCTGAACCACAAGCCCCAAACCAGAAACCCCAAATCCCAGTCCCAGAACAATTGTCTTTGGAGAACCCAGAGACCACCACCACAGTCTACTAGAGCCATTTACGACTATTTCATTCAACATGCTACCTGCTGAGGATAGTCTAATCCTCCCTCCATCAACCGGCAGAGTCGTGACACCCCAAAACTCGCAAAATGCCATAAAGCAACCCTATAAAAGTGCCGCACTGTCGTCTTCAAGCATGTTACAGCAAACCATAACAACCTGTAAACACCAGACCCGAAAACCTACACCCATACCTTCAGGGAGCTCGTGGTGGAGAACCCTCAGCCGTAAAACCTAAACCGTATTTAGAGGATCATGGGACTTAGTAAGTAGGTTATAATTGGGGTCATAGGTCCCCTAAGTGGGGTTATCCTCATTATAACCTACTTATAACCTTACTTACTAAGTCCCATGAGCCTTGAAGTAAACCCCGAACCCTTGTCCCTAAACCTTGACGCTAACTAAACCACAAAGCACCCTAAACCCTGAACCTGAAACCCCCCCAGAGCCTGAACCTGGAAACCTCAGGCGAGCTCTTGGCTATCCGCAAGTCGACTGCTCTTTTCGGTCTCCGTGAGGCTGAGGAGCAGGGTTTAGGGTCTAGGGTCTTAGGGGTTTAGGTTTCAGGGTTTAGGGTTCAGGGTTTAGGGTTCGGGCTTTGGGGCTCAGGGTTTAGAGTTTCGGGCTTAGGGCTTTGGGTTAGGGAGCTCCGAGTGAAAGGCTTTTTTTAGCTTTGGGTGTTCGAGGTGTAGGACTGTAGGATGCGTAGGGCTTGAGTGTTGCTGTCGGGTTTTGGACGGCTTGGGTGTTGGGGTGAATGCCCAGTTTCTTTCAAGCACAGTATCGTATACCCCAAATCCTGTTCTGGATGTTAAACCTTTATTGCCTATGGACCCAGATCCCCTGATTCTGGCTCTACTTGTTCTTATGTATACTTAGTTCCCCAATACCCCAACCTTTAAATCTTTTAGGTTCTTGTAGTTTAGTGGTAATGGGAAAGTTTAACCTTTCATGCTGCTTGTGGCTTCATGGGGAAGTACCTAAACCTTAAACCCTAAACCCTAAACCCCCTAAACCCCCTAAACCCCTAAACCTAAAGCCTAAACCCCCCACCCTAAACCCTAAACCCCTAAACCTAAACCCCCCCAAACCCTAAACCCTAAACCCTATACCCTAAACCCTAAACCCTCAACCCTCAAACCCTAAACCCCTATACCCTGAATGGGCCAAAGGTCCGAAGGTGGAAGCCTGAGCCTAAGAGCCAAGCCCTCGGCTCGGGTTTAGGGTTTAGGGTTTAGGGTTCAGCAGCTCTGACTTTGAAGATTTCACGTCAAGCTATTTCTAGTCAAGCTATCTTCAAGAAGAAACCCCACCCGCCCAGAGAATCCCCTCACATTAGAATTAAGGGTTTTATTTCTTCTGGCATGAATTATTAAATAATAACTTACATACAACTCCAAGACTTTTCATACCGTTCGTGTTTGCTATAGCAGCCACAGCCGTGGAGTTGATTTCATGTCCTAAACCCTAATGCCCAAACCGTAGCCCTAAACCCTGGGGGCCCAAACCCTAGGCCCTAAACAACGGCCCAAACCCTGGGGCCCAAACCCTAGGCCCTAAAGCCGGGCCCAAACCCTCGCCCTTTCCCCTAGTGCCCAAACCCTAGGCCCTAAACCCTAGGGCCCAAACCCTAGGCCCTAAACCCTAGTGCCCAAACCCTAGGCTCTAAACCGGGCCCCCCTACAACCCAAAGGCCCTAAACCCTAGAGCCCAAACCCTAACAAACCCTAGCCCAACCCTAGGGCCCAAACCCTACCCTAAACCCAAGCCCTAAACCCTACTGCCCAAACCCTAGGCCCTAAACCCTAAGGCCCAAACCCTAGGCCCTAAAACCCTAGTGCCCAAACCCTAGGCCCTAAACCCTATACGCTAAACCCTAGGGCCCAAAACCCTAGAGGGGGGGGGGAGGGAGGAGAGGGAGGGAGGGGGCACCCCAGGAGATTTTTTTTTTTGAAAAAGGCCTAGGCCCCCCAAACCCTAGGCCCTAAACGTAAAGCCCTAAACCTAGGGCTAACGGTTTAGAGCATCAGTGGCCACGAAGATTGATGAAGTGACCACGAAGATTGATGAAGTGACCACGAGAAGATTGATGAAGTGACCACGAAGATTGATGAAGTGACCACGAAGATGGATGAAGTGACCACGAAGATTGATGAAGTGACCACGAAGATTGATGAAGTGACCACGAAGATTGATGAAGTGACCACGAAGATTGATGAAGTGACCACGAGGATTGATGAAGTGACCACGAAGATTGATGAAGTGACCACGAAGATTGATGAAGTGACCACGAAGATTGATGAAGTGACCACGAAGATTGATGAAGTGACCACGAAGATTGATGAAGTGACCACGAAGATTGATGAAGTGACCACGAAGATTGATGAAGTGATCAGCTGAAAACGTCAAGTGACCACGAAGCCATTAAGGTTTAAATTACTATAGGTAGAGAGTTTTAGGGGTTTAGGGTTTAGGGGTTAGGGGTTTAGGGTTTAGGGGTTAGGGGTTTAGGGTTTAGGGGTTAGGGGTTTAGGGTTTAGGGTTTAGGGGTTAGGGGTTTAGGGTTTAGGGGTTAGGGGTTTAGGGTTAGGGTTTAGGGTTTGGGGTTGAGTGTTCGGGGTTACGAGTTTGCTTAGTCTTGAGGCTGGAGCCTCAACCCTTTACCCAGCAAAGAATCCGTACTCTGCAATGCATGAATAATGCGAATAGTGCGGTAATGTAAGCACTATTGCTCAAGCAAGGGCTAGAGTCCATCGGGCTCTTTGACTCTGGCCACTCCTCATCTCCGGCACAGGACATCCTCACCAAGGTGAAGTTCCCCGGCTGTGGCCGTCATCAAGTGCCGGGCGTGGTGATGATGGAGGCCGGTTTGGGAATCAATCGTGGGCCAAGGTTGCTTTCCCAAAGGCTCCATTTACCTTTATAGCAGATACTTCAGGCCCTAAAGGGGTTCCTATATAGGTACTTTCAGGCCTAAGTATATACTATATTGGGACATGGAGCCTTAGGGTTTGGATTATCTAGATCTCGTTGGATCGTTTCTCTGGATGCCCATATTGACGCCCAGCCGAGGCCCTAAAGCCCGAAAGCCTCATAAATCAACCATTAAAGAAAACTGAGTAGGCAAACAAACAAATAGATATGTACATGCATATCATATACATCAGTATATATATATATATGTACATATTATACTTGTATTCATATTTAGACATATAATAGTAGATCCCAAAACCCGTTTCCAAGCATTATGGCCGCTGTGCCGATCCCTACAAAAGCATGGAACCTAAGAAGCGTGCAAGGTGACCAACGGAAGGGCTGCTGCTGGTCCGAATGCAGGTGCCGGTTGAGCATTTGCACGGTTTGTGTCCGTGATTCTTCTGCTTCTTCTTACTACTCTTCGTCGAGCAGCAGCAGCAGCAGCAGCAGGAGGAGGAGGAGGAGTAGTAGTAGGAAAAGTCGAGTAGCAGCAGCAGTAGTGGCTCTTGGTACTGTTGTAGCAGGAGCAGGAGTAGGGGTAGGGGTAGGGATAGGGGTAGGGGTAGGAGTAGGCGCAGGGGTAGGGGTAGGAGGAGGGGGAGGAGTAGGAGTAGCAGTAGGTGTAGGCGTAGGCGTACGGGTAGTGGTAGGAGTAGTATAGTAGGAATAGGAGTAGGAGGAGGAGTAGTAGCAGTAGTACGATTACTGCCACGACGACGGCGATTAGGGGCTCGAACGGCGCATTTTTGGATGTGGGTGATTTTGGCTGATACACACCATATCCTGATGCCTGCGGCCCATACTGTACCCACATAAATATGAAGAGTGCTGCAGGCTACTTATAGAAGGTTATACTGACAGTGCTGTACATTTCAGGGTTTAGGTTTTATTAGCAGTGCTAATAAAATATTGCTGTGGGGTTCGAGTTTGGGGTTGTGCTGACTGTGCCACTAGTGTTGTAGGGCTGTGCCTGGCGCCAAAGGCCATGAACCACCAGAATCTTGACGACAACCTCATAAAGTACATCTAAACCCTGGCCCACATTTGCCCCCGATGCAAGGCCTACCATTGTGCGACCAGTATGCGCGCGTGGTGGTGGTCTTTTCGTCCCGGCCCTCGCCCGTGCGGATACCCGTACCAGAGCCTCGGCGCAGGGATTGCTCCCACGACTGCTTCCAAATTTAAGCCCTAAATCAAACCGTCTAAATCCCAAACTGCGGCGCCGCGCAAGCATAGGGCAGTTGGGCTATCTACTTGCTGGCACCTGAACTTCTTGGAGGGGCCCCTAAACCCTAAATCCATGATGCTGGCAACGCTTCAGGCTCCTCGGACTGCGACTGCGACTAAAAGCCGACAGGCCCTAAACCCTTCGCGGATCCGCTGGGAGATGGATGCACATAAGCAACACCCGACTCTGAACCCCTAAACCACCCCAAATCCTTCCCCTGTCTATCTCAGGTTACTCATGGGACTCGTAGTGGTGAGGAGGAGGAGGAGGAGGAGGAGGAGGGGGTAGGCCCATACTTCCTAAAATCTTAAGCCTCAGTAGACCTTTTTTCAAGGGTATTAACGGCCTCATACCCCCTGCCCGTAAACCCTAAACCTTAAACCGTGCCCCCTTACCCAGAGAGCCCAATACCCCTTAATTATAAGGAATATAGCCTAAATCATAGTATGAAGCCCCTAATGATTTAAGGTATATTCCTTAATTAAGGGGTATTGGGCTCTCTGGGCAAGGGTCCGTATGATTCCCCGAACGACCAGAAAAGATCGCCAAGGCCAGCAGTTCCACTGGCACTTTACAGCACCCGGGCACAAAATTCAGAGCTGTTGATCTTACCTTCGGTTAGTAGGGAATGGAAGAATGGCAGTAATAGTAGATATAATTATACCCTGCTCCTCCATTCCCTACCAACCAAAGGTAAGAAATCTGATAATACAATCCTTTCCATAAGACTGATGCTTGTGGTTAACGGCTTGCATGTAGAGCTAGACCGGCAATTTCGACGTTGCTCACAGTCTTGGTGTTGCTGCAAGTCCGGATCGCGAGGTGTAGTTTGACCAAAACCGAGGATTACCTTAGGGAGGGCTTCTTTCAGGGGCTTGCTTTGGCTTCCGAGATTACAAATTTAGATGCTGTTCTAAAGCAGGACTCTGGGACTGAATGTTTAGAAAACACCCAGAGAGCCCAATACCCTTTAATTAAGGAATACAGCTTAAATCCTAATATTAATCCCCTAATGATTTAAGGTATATTCCTTAATTAAGGGGTATTGGGCTCTCTGGGCAGACTTTTGCTTTTGGGCTGAGGGTTGTAGATCAGGTCATGGGGATTCAGGTTGGATCAGATTCCACATTTCTCAAAGCCGCAGTCTTCCAACATCGTCCTAGAACGTTGTAGCTTTGGTAGAACAGGGCCCCTTGTCCTGAATGCCTTGTATGCGTCATTGCTTGATTAGAGCCTATTGACATGAAAGCTCAATGTATGTTGACCCCTGCCAGTCATTGGAGTATACTATATACTGCCGCTCTTGGTTCAGGTGGTCTGTGGACCCCTGCCAGTCATTCGAGTATACTGTATACTGCCGCTCTTGGTTCAGGTGGTCGGTGTAATTCTTTCAGAATGATCATATGAGTTGAAGAAAGTCTGCATCAGAGGGGCAAGGTACAATCTAACCGAGGCTACACTACAGCTTTGTACAATGAACTGTCCAGCAGCAGGAACGATGAAACGCTGAAACGTGAATCTACTGCCGTGAAGCCACACTAGCAGTTTGATACCGCATATATATATATAGAGAGAGAGAGAGAGAGGGAAACCCTACTTGAGTGCGCTATCCTAAACGCTCGACAGTAGACGCACCACGATACTCCAATCTAGTGCCCCAGGGCGCTCCCAAACTGAATCATACTAATTCCCTGAAGACTTCATCCCTATAAAGACTCCCCCACAACACCCGCTGAAGGATCGCTTAAGGTTAAAGGATCCCCTCAGACTCAAGGATACCTGTAAGGGTCAGCTCCGAGGCTTCCCTATCACATGGCCACACACACACACACACATATATATATATATATATATATATATATATATATATGTGTGTATATATACATACATACATATATATATATACACATATGCATACATATATATATATATATATACATATATACACATACATACATACATATATATATATATATATATACACATGCATATATATGTATATAGGCATGTACATACATCATATCTACTATATACATATATAGAGAGAGAGGGAGAGAGATAGATAGATAGATATTTACTTACATTTATACACACACATATACATAGCGTATTTCCGCAACTCTAAGGCTACATCCCCTGCAAGCCTCCTCGACAGACGAGCGCACCCGTGCCTCGTCGGAAGCAGAATTCCTTCAGAGAGGGGATACATACAACGTGCGATGCAAGTAAGTCTTCTGGCATAGGATTGCAACATGTTGAAAACCTCAAGTGCTACACATCCTAAACCCAAAGTTCGAAACTAAAGACTGCATGGATCCTTACAGAGAATGTCTGGGACGTGGACAGATTCAGGAGTTTGGTTTTTGCTCTTATTCTTTTGTCTGATAGGGGTGAGTGTTGAAGTTTTCGTGCATAGGTGGTTTGGACGTGGGGAGTGTCGGTATTCCTAAATTACCGGTTCGCTTCTAGAGTTTCGGGGGAAGGGGAACCAGAAGAGGAACTACAATGGAGTGTCAAGGTTAGGCTCAAGGGCTTAAGGGCCAGTGGCAAAGTGGAAAGATTCTCTTAGCGGACAAAGCCTTCGGGACTTAGGACAAGCTTTTGTGGACGAAGAGAAGGACGAGCTCTTCGTTCCGGCGCTTTCCGCCATTGTATTTGCGATGACCTCAGCTGACGTTGCTTAGGGACCCAAACAGGGCATAAGCATACCGTTTTATAGGGATAGCACTACCGAGCTTCATTAACAGGGGGTTTATATGGGATAGTTGCAGTCGCAGTTGCTGATGTTTCGTGCCCCCAAACCCCTGAACCTCCGAACCGCAATGCTAAACTCCTCACCACTGATCCCCAAATGTTGTCCTTAAAACACCCTAAAGCGCAAACCGAGATCTAGGATGCCCAGTACTACCCTTATTCCCTTTTTGTAGTCCTAGGTTCCAGAGTTACCCAATACCGAAAAGGGAGCCCGTTTTATGCCTAGGTTACTGGGCATCCTAGAAATGTCTGCCCGGGTTCGAGGATGCAGGATGCCATCCTGCACGCACCCAGAGAGCCCAATACCCCTCAATTAAGAAATGCACCTTAAATCTTTTGGGGCGTCATCTTATGATTTAAGCTATATCATAATTAAAGGGGTATTGGGCCCTAATATGATTTAAGCTATATTCCTTAACTAAGGGGTATTGGGCTCTCTGGGCAGCTGTCAGTTTGCCAAGGATTCAGAGCTTTCGCAAGTCCCTGCAAGCCTGGCCTAGAAGCCCCTAGGGGCCCATGAACCCAAATAGTATATGGGTGGTTGTCAAAATTAGGGTCCCTTTTCGAGTCCCTATATCGAAACTGAGAAGGTACCTTAGGGTTCCTTTGAAGGGTTACTATAAGGGTACTATAAGGGTTTCTTTACAGGGCTCTGTAAGGGTTTAGAGTTTCCGAAAATTGGGGTACCTCATTTTGGGGGTCCTTATAATAAGGATCCTACTATTTAGGGTACTATATTAGGGTCCCCGATTTTCGGAAGCTCCCATCTACTTCTGGCCCAAGGTACTTGTAGGGAGTACTTGAAGGCCAAAATGTGTACTACTTAAGGTACATGGACCCTTACGGAGCCAGTATACTTGTTTTCATATGATAGAAAACCCTCAAAACTCTATTCTAGCATCCAACACCCCGGCTGTCTTTCGGGATCAGAACCTACAATTATGGGATCATAGCCTACTATTTTGTAGGGTTTGGGCTTTCTTTCTTCTATGTAGGTTTCCATCTGCGCATACCCGGAGATAACAGGCTGATCGTAAAAGAGTACTATGGAGTACTCGAAGTATCCAATGCTCCTTTATACAGGCTTCCGCCTTGAGGGGTGTCGGGTCTAAATCCCTTCCTTGCAGCATCTTGAGCCCTACACCCCTGAGCCCAGAAACTCTAAACCCTGAACCCCTAGATCCTTAGCCCCTCACACCCCACACACTGAAAACATTGAGCTGTAGATCCCTTAACACAGAGCTGAACATAATGGCGTTTAGGATTAGAATAGGGTTTTGGGGCCCAGTAATACTAAAAATATAATGAGGAACCACCAGCATAGTATACGTAATTATTCAGGCCCCTATGGTAGAAATGAAACCCCCAAGCTCCAGACCTGTGCACAGGTAGAGCCCCTACCCGGCCGCGATGGCTACAAGGCCATCGTCAGAGACCGTGTTCGGCCGGGGGCAACGATCCGACAGGGTCTGCTCTTACTGTGGTCTTGTGACGCATCTTTGCTTCTATCTATATAGTTTGCCATGAAAAGGACAGCCATGCATCTTTGGAGTGGAAACGTAGTCCTGCCAGCCGTAAGCCCTAATTGACTACCATAGCCTCAAAATCCACCAGCTCTGGCACTTCCTCAGACTTCATGAAGCAGAGTCTTGCAAAAAGAAGAAACCCCTGAGGATTGGAAAACGGGTTCTGAGCCTGAATCCGAACCAGGCGTAGCCAAGCGCCCTAAGGGTCCATGTGACCAAATACGGTTGATGATATAAATCCTGCATTACCTTAAGGACCCTAGACTATGCGAATCATGGTATGTTCCTTACTCTGGGTAATGCAGGATGTATATCATCAACCGTAGTATATACTGCGGTCTTAAGTGTACTCCCTATATAGGTTCGTTGGGCCCAAAGTATACACTATCTGGGTGCATGGACCCTTAGGGAACGGTTTAGTTAAGTTTAGGGTTCGGAAAGCCCTGACCAAAAGAACATCCCGCTCATGCCAGGTGGGAAAAATCCAAACCCCAAACCCTTAAAAACCTTGACTTTCAAGCCTATTAAACCCCAAGCTTTAAACCCTGGACCCGAAACCCTGAACCCTCAATCCCAAACGCTAAACCCTAAACCCTACTCCCTGGACCCTCAAACCTGAACGATCAATAGGTTCAGGAAGCACCTCCAAAGCCGACAGGCGCACCCGCTCAAGCGGAACTTTTCCTGCGCCGTGATGTGAGTCTTCGGTTCATGCCTTTAAGAGTTTATGGTTCAGGATTTTGGGTCTAAGAGCTTCCTATATAGATCTCGCCTCTTCATGGTTCATGATATAGCAAAACTGTATTCTAATTGGTAATACGGGCAGGAGGAATTTCTAGCTGACATCATCCGCTTCTGATTCCTGATGTAATTTTTCGCCTAACCCTGAGCCCAGTAAGTGCTGAAGCCGAGTCCTCTGAGCGGCCCCCGGGAACTAGGCACTCATCTCATGCGCTACTTTTCGTTGTCATAGTTGGGTAACATTTTACATTTTTAAGGGTACTTAAACCCAATAAGGAGCAAAAATGTACATTTTTTAATCCTATCCCAACCATGAACTACTTGTATGTGGGGATCATGACTGTCAAACGAAGGCACTAAACTCTGAGGATCTTGGGTCAAACACGGGAGCCCGAAAGCCCACTTGGAGGTCCATGGGTGGTTACAAGTAGAGTTATAGGGTTTAGGGTTTAGGGTTTAGGGTTTAGGCTTGGAGGTCCATGGCTGGTTACAAGTAGAGTTATAATAGTAGGTTTTCTATACTTAGGGGACTTATAACCCTACGTATAACTACCCATGAACCTCCAAGCAGAGTCTCGGAGAGCTGCGACTTACCATAAGGGTCCAAGTACAAGGGGTGTAGGGGTTTGGGGTTAGGGGTTCAGGGGAATAAAGGTTTGAGGGGTTTAGGTTCAGGGTTTAGGGTTGTTGGTGCCCAAAAAGGGTGGAAGTACTGCTCCAGCCTCAACCGTAAAGCCTGTTGAAAGCCCCCGAAGCTCCTCTGCAACCGCACCAGCAGACCTAATAGGCTTTAACGCCTGTTTAAAAGGTGTTAAAGCCAAACCCTGAACCTTAAACGTTCGGTCAATGGACCTGATCTCTACTGCGCATGCTCAGAATGAGACCCAGAAAAGGTCCTTAGATCTCGGGGGCCAGAGCAGCTGCTAGCTGCTAGGGATTGTGATATATGGTCTGCGGATTGCGGACTGCGGTTCATAGTATCAGTGCTGTAGCCTTGCTGTACCGGACTATTCGGCCTTCATCAGGTTTTCAACCTTATGGGGTTTACTGTAGGATCATCGAGGGAAGTTGGGGCTCCAGGTAGAGCCAGGTTTTGTGGTCCTTCGGCATAGTCTAGGATGCCCAGTACCACCCTTATTCCCTTTTTGTAGTCCTAGGTTCCTTATTAAGTTACCCAATACCAAAAAGGGAGCCCGTTTTATTCCTAGGTTTCTGGGCATCCTAGGAGTGCAGGGTCCGGCTTCCGGTATAGTCCAGGTAGTGCGCACCAGGACGTAGAAACGTTGCACTGTTGACCATCTGAAGAATTCCAAGTTGTCTTGGCCACATCGTGAGAATATACCCACAAACCTGGATCCTAAACTCCTACGTTAACCCTAAACCCTATATAAAACCGAAGCCCAAAAACCGCTCTGAATCCTAGACTCCTGGACCAAGTTTGCGGCTTTGCAAAGCAAGTGACAGGATCAATACTGGCAATTGTGAAAGGGCAAAACCCGGTACCTTGCACCCCGAAACCTGATTATCAGCTTTTATTCTTATTGTTTTTCGCTATTCTTATTAGTTGTGGCAGCAGTAGCAGCAGCAGGAATAGCAGTACTAGTGTAGTAGTAGTAGTAGTAGTAGTAGTAGTAGTAGTAGTAGTAGCAGCAGGAGTAGTAGTAGTAGTAGTAGTAGTAGTAGTAGTAGTAGTAGTAGTAGTAGTAGTAGTAGTAGTAGTAGTAGGCCCGCTGTTCTCTCTGGGTCCCAGAAGGAGCGCGCAGAACTCGGTTTACCGCTGCTGCAAAAGAGTGCTGTCCAACCAAAGGTTTTCGGATGATGTTCAAATCGTAGTCGTCAGATAAAGGCGGCCAAATTCGGGGGTGCAGATGTAAGTTTTGCTTCAGACGCAACTTGACCTTCCATTGGAGTTTATTAGGGCTTAGGGGTTTAAGGTTTAGGGGTGCGCTGCAGCCCCGCCTCAAAAGGGTTCAGGGGTTTAGGGGGCGAGCGCAAGACATCCATACGGCTGATGATAAAAATCCTGCATTTCCCATAGTAAGGGTTATACCCTGGTTAAGGTAATGCAGGATTTATAACATCAACCGTAGTGGAGGGATAAGTGTCCGATCACCACTCAAGGGGGTCTTTGCCAAGGAGCATTTGGGATTCTTGCGCCCTTCGCTTTGGGCTTCAGGGTTAAGGCGGTTAAGGCAAGGGTCCAGGATCTACAGGACCTCCCTGCCGACACAGCAGCAATTCGCATGACCCCTCACAGACACACTCACACAAAGCCTACATCCCGAACCATGCATAGCGCCTTATCAAACCTCATCTTTCTTTGCTCTGAGGTTGTTTCCTCTATTCGTGAACGGGCTGCCGGTGAGTTCGGTTTGTGCCTGCACTGGAATCAGAGTTCATGTATCGGGTCTTCATGTTAGTTGAGGGTTTACGGTTTCAACACCCTGGAAACCAGGAGCCGAATGTCATGTGGGTGGTTGGCAAAATCAGGGTCCCTTTCTGGGTACCCTAAATATTAGGTGCCGTATTACAGTAAGGACCCAAAAAGAGACCATAATTTTGACAACCACCCATGTAGCACCAACACTGTAAAGTGCTAAATATGTGATGGAACGCTGAATGGCATGCCCTTAGATGCTGTGTTTATATTCCCTGTACAAAAATCACAAAACTCTAGCCGCTAGTCCTACCTTTAGCCTGCATTGCAGTTCCTTCTTTGGTTAACAAGCTCTTCTTCAACAAGATCCTAGCCATAACATGGCCGTTTTCCAAAAAGGAACTACAACAGAGACTCCAGGTAGAGCTTTAAGTTTTCAGGATTAAGCGTCTCAAAATCTCAAGGCTGAGGCTGGTGGGGCTCTTCTTCGTGGCCCAAACTATAGGGTTTAGGGTTTAGGGTAAACTAAACAGAATCCTATGAGTTACACCCAAAAAGGAACTACTTTGGGGCCTACCTGGACCCCAAAAGTATGCAGCATAATAGCCTTTTATATGTTTTGGGACATTATTCTACCTACTTTGGGGGGACACCTGAGTTATTCCTGACATCATGCCTCATATCGAGTCCCGGTTTGACTTTCTACTACAATATACTCCCCAACCCGACTGTATTTATGAAGGCCCCTCTTTGTACCCACTAAGCACAACTTAACTATAAAGAATCTCCCTGACCCAAACCCTAAGGCCCAAAATAGCCCAAAAGCCTTAATGTATGAGTCCTCAGAGCCTTAGGGAAAGCCGGAACAACCCTAAACCCTACACCCTCAACCCTACACGCTAAACTCTAAACCCTAAACCCTACACCCCAACCTTAAACCCTAAACCCTAAATCTTAAACCCTAAACCCTAAACCCAGGCCTGAGAGCCACGTCGAGCCTCTGCAGCTGGTTCGGTACCGCGCCGGGGAGTTCTATGCCGCACACGTCGACTGGGGTCGCAAGGAGGACTGCGATTCCCAGAGAGCCCAAATACCCCAATACCCAACCTTTAAACTTTCTGGGTTCCTAGAGTTTAGTAGTACCCTGAAAGTTCAGCCTTTTGTGTGTGTGGCCTGTTGGAGAAGTAAGCTATAGGCCACTACACCTTCCTAAAGCCTACATACGGCCCCTAAATCCCTAAATCCTTAACCCTACCTAAGACTCCTTTAAACTGTCAGATGGAATCTACTACCAACTACTATTCTGGAATTAGTTATTCCCCAAAAGACCATCCCAAGGGTAGCTTTCTGGACCGTTTTGGAATCCCCCCTATAAACCCGAAACCCCAGTATATGGACGCTCTTGGGTAACCCCTAACTGAACCATAACTTTATGGACACTCTTGGGATTCCCCTAAACCCGCTATAAACCCTAACTATATTTCTTAGATATCGAACGGGGGAGCTTTAAACTTTTTGGCCTTATATGTTTTTCTCTATCTTGGAAAGGTTGAACTCTTTTGGGCCTGGTTGTTGAAGAAGAGAGTATAAGCCCTTACTATATATGGGTGGTTGTCAAAATTATGGTCCCGTCTGGGGAATATTAGGTGCCGTAGTATATTAGGGATCCCAAAAAGGGATCATAATTTTGACAACCACCCAATTACCCTAAACCCTAAACCAAGGAACCCTTAAAGGATCCCGTTAAAGGAGCCCTAGTTTTCGGAAGCTCCCATATGGACCCTCTTGGACGGTCAGGATTCCACCCTTTGGCTGGCGGGTCAGCGCGTGGCCACGCTGCTGGTGTACCTGACAGAACCAAGAGGCCGGCAGTCGGAGTTTAGGGTTTGGGTTTAGAGATGTTTAGAGTTTAGGTTTAGGGGTTTAGGGTTTAGGAGTTTAGGGTTGTTTAGAGTTTAGGTTTAGGAGATAAGGGGTTTAGAGATGTCGAGTTTAGGTTTAGGAGTTTAGGGTTTAGAGATGTTTAGAGTTTAGGTTAGGGGTTTAGGGTTTAGCAATGTTTAGAGTTTCGGGTTAGGGTTCAGGGTGCGCGGTTTAGTTTCGGAACCAATTGAAGGTAGGTAGGGTTTTAGTTTAGGGTCCAGGGTTTGGAGTTTAATTAGGGGTTTAGGGTTCAGGGTTCAGAGATCAGGGGCCAGGGTTTGGAGTTTCGGGGTTCAGGGTTTAGAGATCAGGGTTTCGGGATCAGGGTTTGGAGTTTCGGAGTTTAGGGTTCAGGGTTTAGTTTGAAGGGTTTGGAGTTTAGGGTTTAGGCTTTGAAGTGTAGGGGTTCAGGGCTCGGGGTTTAGAGGTCTGGATTAGGGTTCAGGGCTGAGAGTGTTGTCTCTGTGCGTGTGTTCTTGGTGTGTGCGTTGCTTAATGTTTTTTGTAGTATGTATTTTGTGCTGAAGTTCCCGCGACACCTGGATTGGGAACTAACTTCAAGTAATTTTCATCTGTGCTCCGGGGGAACCCGAGTTTCGAATCTCCTTAGCACTATAAACTGTAGAACCATCGATGCATCGTCATCGCCATGATGATGTTGGTCGGTACCGACCATGCCATCGACAAGATCAACAGCCACAGCCATCCCTGAAAATAATAGTAGCCCTCATGATCTTCATCATCATCATCATCATCATCATCATCATCATTATTTTCTTCTTCTTCATCGTCATCATGCCAAAAATGGGCAGCATCATCATCATCATCATCATCATCATCATCAAATCATCAACCATCGTATTCTATGGTGAAAGCAGCCCCTCCCACCAAGTGTTAATACCAGTCGGCCAAGTCTTTCAACACGCCTACCGCACCCTACAAACTCATGGTGCCTGACAAGATGAGAGTTGTCCGTTCCATTCTGTACGAGAAAGTACTATGAAGAATGTCCAGGTCTACATAAGTTGGAGTTTAGGACGCTTTGCCGCGATCCACGGTCAAAAGAAGTCCCAGGTGATGCAACCACTGCGGCCGGTGGGGAAACGCGCCCTCCGGCGGCAACACAAGCTTGCATTATCGGCAGTGGAGTTCGTAGCCCACACCCTTGAAGTTGTCCCCAGTATAGAATAGAGGTTTGAATTGGCCTGAATCTTGGGCAAGAGCATCGCTTTACGAAGACACTATCTTGTGGGGTTGCCAGATTCACGACGCAATCTGGTGACCATACATGCCGCATAATCCACTTCTAAGTGTTGAGGCTCCCACGCTAGCTAGGCTTCCTAGGGAAGGGCGAGCTTCAAGAGTGACGGTCTTTGCACTCTTAGGCTAAGACATTCTTTCCGTGGAGCTCGATGTGGGGCTTCTTTCAATTACGAGTCGTTTGTTCAAAAGTCCTCGAAAACCGGATCCTAGTGTATACTATCTCCATTTGGTCCACTTGGTTCCCTTACTATTTTAAACTCCCTGGTTCAGTCGACACGCTCAAATCTGTACCCCGAACCCCCGAAACTTGACACTTCGACAAGCACCACATCCTCTAAAGACCCTGGCGTCCTACCACCCTAGACCCTAAACCATAAATCCCGAAACCCTAAAACCCTAAACCCTAAAACCCTAAACCCTAAACCCCGAAACCCTAAACCATAGAACCCTAAACCCACCCGTCCCATGCACCTGCCAGAACCCGCTCCTTGTCGGGCCCGGTGTGACGGTTTTGGGTTTAACGGCGGCAGGTTTAGTAAGGGTTTAGGGTTTAGTCCCCGGCGCAATCCCAGGCTTCACGCAGCTTGACATAAGTGCACCCTGGCTCAGATCAGCAGAGATCCTCCCCGGTTCAGGGTGTAGGGTTTCCATCAGTGAGCAATATTGACCTTGAATCATGTTGACGATTCCGCTCTTGTTGTTCAAGGTTGTTTCCACACTTGACTGGCATTGGGCCTTGTAGCTAGGTAGTTGGCTTCGTAAACGTTGGTTTGTTTTGGGGCTAAATCATGGTTCCCGATAAGCTGCACATCTAAATATCTGCTAGCTTGTGAAATAGGCGGCTATGCGATGCAGCCACCACCACCACCACGTGGGCTTTTTACAAGGTAACTCAACACGAACTAGGTTGCGGGTCGTCTATTTAACTACGCGTAACTGCTAAGCCCAATTCCATGTACCAGTATGTATATATACTTATATGCCTTAAAGTCGCACTTGACGTCTGTGATAGGCTGTATGAGTACAGAAGTCACAGTCGAGTGGTAGTGCCGAGAAGACGTGCAATGCTGCAGCCTTTGTTGATGGAGCCCTCCGACCATGAATACTTCCAAAGCCGCCACAATCGCCAACCCTAAGTCTTCCAAAAGACTCTACTACAGACTGGGATGCCTAGTAGTACCCTTATTCGGTTTTTGTAGTCCTAGGAACCGTATAAATTTCTAAAGTTACCCAATACCAAAAAGGAAGCCCTCTTTATTCCTAGGTTACTGGGCATCCTAGCAGGCTGGGCATCCTAGCAGAAGATAGAACCCTGCACACTCAGGAGCCCTAAGCACTCAGGGAGTGCGAAAGATACTGTAACATACACAGAGCCCAGAGAAAAAACGAACCAGCAGACCAGATGACTCCGTTGCGTGTTCCTGTTCAGAGAAAGCAAGCCTAATACACCAAGGGTCCAAGTACCTAATAATCATAGACTCTCCCAAATCCTAACCTACATAACTATTATCCTAAAACCGAGTACCTAACTATTGGGTCCTTTGGCTTTGGGGGAGTCTGAGGGGTGCAGAGGTTTCGGATGCGGTTTTCCGCGGTTCAGCTTTCCAGGCGGGTGGTTGTCAAAAATAGGGTCCCTTTTTGGGTACCCTAAATATTAGGTGCCTTACTATAATAATGCCTAATTTTGACAACCACCCAGGTGAGTGCTTTGGGTTTGAGGTTGAGCCTCGTAGAACCGGAGGCGGCTGGGGTTGCCGGGAACCCCGAAACTCCGAAAACCGCCTAAAACCCCCAACATCTCTGAACCCCTAAATCCCCAAACCCCAAACCCCTCAACTTAAACCTCTAAACCCTAAACCCTTAGGGTTTAGGGTTTAGGGTTTATAGGGTTTAGGGTTAATCCCGAAGCCTCTAAACCCCTAAGCCCGAAGCTCCTAAGCTAAAGCTGAAGGTACCTCCAACGCCCGGGGTCGCCATCCTCTGGCCAAATGCTCCTCGGGCTCAGGAAGTTGTCAGGGCTTAGTATGAGAGTTATTACCCATGTCTTTCCTTCGGGTTTAGGGTTTTAGAGGGCCTAAATGGTCACCCATATAAGGACAAGTCCGTAAAGTGGGCTTGCGCAAATTCATTCGGGTCTTTCTCTAATGACGCCATGCACATGGATGCATGCATACGTACATGCATACACGCGTGCGTGCATGCATGCATGCATGCATGCACGCATGCCGGCACAGGATGTAGCATTCTTGTAGCTACCACTCGTTGCTGTTTACTGAGTCTTTATAATAACCTTAGGTAACCATACACAAGCTTTCAAAACAGCGCAGCCAAACGGCTGCCACAGATACAAGAATGCTCTTAAGATTGAAATGGTCCCAGGGGATGGTGCTAAACCTATCCAACTGAGGGCTTGGGCTCTAGGTTGAGTGGTGACATGGTAATTAGCCTGGATGATGAGACGATGGCTCGGGGAGATTTCATGTGCTTCATAGTAACGAGACATGTGCATTGATTTGATGATGCAGAACTATTAGGTTGGTACATTCCGGCAGAAGCAAGCCAGAACGCGAGGCGCGATGGCCCACAAGCCAGTGGTCCAGGTTGCCGCTGTCTTTGCTCCTTTTGTGCCGCAGATGGTCCCGGGATCACGGAAAGAGGACTCCAGCGAAGAAACGTGCCTTCGAGGATTCTGGACCAACCGCAGACGCTTGACCTGTGCCGGTACCGAAGGCCAGACAGTTGTGCTGCACTTCACGATTAGCATTTACGAAGCCCTACAGCCATAGACCCTAGAACCCTAAAAAAATAGCTCGTAAAGCTCTAGACTCTAGGCCCAGTCCCTAAAACCCTAATCCCTGAACCATAAGCAGCGACCTCATCTTCGGCATCGTCGGCATAATGTCATGGTGGAAGTTGACGTTCAGCGTGGAAGCACCTGCTTTATTAGTATGGCGGGCTGAACAAGTCGAACAGGGTGTTGGGGTGTCGTTTACTGTAGTTGTAGAACGTACAAGACATGTTTTTAAAAGAGCGGTCAGACCCCATACTAGTTGCTGAACTCCGCTGCAGGTGCCATAGGACATAGATGCAAGGCCAAACCCAAAGCTCCTAAACACGAAATACCAAATCCTACGGTTGATGCAGTTGCTTTGTAGCATGGCTGGTTGGAGTAGGGTCCAAAGCTCTTATATGAATCACATCACACCTTCCTTTTCCTAGCCATTGCGGCTCAGGGAAAGCGGAGGTCCTTTGATTTCGAGCCATGGCTCTGTCTGGTGCAGTCCGGGCATCTCTTTCTGATGAGGCCCTGGCGATTATTGCGACTGCAGGAATTGAGACAGATGCTGATATGGCTTGCTTTTGGACTTCCGAAGAAGAGATTCTGGGATTATATCAGGGGGAGATTGCTGGGCCTTTGGTTCGCGCATGGCGCTTGGCCAATCAGTGTTTTGCCCGGGAGAATGCTCTTCAACCGCTGAATGTTCCCTTAAAGAAATCTGATCCTGTGCCTGTGGCGGCACGACCCAAGAAGCGATGCATGCCGCCTGCTGTGTTGCAGAGCAAGGCCTGCCGAGTTAAGGGTCCCCAGCCAGTGATGGTGGCACAGCCGCAGCATATTGAGTCTAAGAGGTCGCAGCACGTGCAGTTAATGTTGGACGTGGTCTTAGCCTCTGGTTCGGCGAACCTCAAGTTCTCGCCGGTTGAGCTGAAGGTACGTGCCGAGGTCCTGCCGCTATTTATGCGTCTGCTTGAGAAGGTTTCCGATTCCAAGCTTGCGGCATTGGTTTCTACGCTTAAGCGCTGGATTCGTTTTGCTGAGTGTCATCTTCCTGCTGACGTGGTCTATTGGATGCCTTCTGCGATGACATTGTCTGCCTTCTTGCAGCAGGTCGCACAGGGCGGTCCCACTGCTTCGGTTAATGTCTATCACAATATGAGGTGGTGGGTGGAGCATATGGGTTTGCCTTTGCCAGTCCAGGACCCGCTTGTTGCAATGTTCAAGCAGCCTCCGACGGGTTATGCAGCAAAGCAGCGTACTCCTATTGCGCTGGGGGTTTTCTTCCACTTGTGCGGAATGCTGCAGAGTACCACTGGAACTGTCAAAGCCTTTATTGCATGGGCTTTGCTGCTGTGTACGGCCTGCCTCAGGTTCGCGCACTTGCAGCGCTCTGTCAATCTACGGTGCGAAAATTCCTTGTTGTCGGCCCTTTGCAAGAAAGGGAAGAGAAAGCAGCAAGGTGTGCAGCAACCCTTTGTGTGGTGCGTGCCGGCATGCCCTGCTCCTTCAGTCTGTATTGCACCTATACTGCTGCTAGAATATGGCGAGTTGTGTGTGGCCAAGTCCGATGTGGATTTTATTATCCCTGACCTGCAGCTACCGCGATCGGGGAGATTGGAGCCGGGTACACCCAAGCTTTTGCGCCGAATGAGTCGTGCTAAATTCTGTGAACTCATGAGAAGTTTGCTCCGTGCAATTGGAGTCCAGGACGAGGACGTGGATCAGCTTTCCAGCTATTCCTTTCGGCGTTTTATGCCGACCTTGGCTGACTGTCAGGACGCTTCCTATGAGGCTAGGCTGGCGGTTGGCAACTGGGTTGAGGCTGCAACTGACAAAGTTACAGCCACGAAGGCTGGATCTGCAATGCCGATTCGATATTCGGACGAGAAGGCTGTTACAGCGGGCATGACCAAGCTTCGCATGCTAGTTAGTCTTGATATTTCCAGGCAGCGCTGTTCAGCCGGGGACCTTACATGGGCCGAGGTTTCTCGCTTGAGGCCGTCTGCGTCGAAGGTTGAGAAAGCCCTTCAGTCAGCGGCTTGGCGCGCCGGTGACGACATGGTTCCCAAGCATGCTTCTGAGAGCGAGGACTTAGAGGACGAGGACGATGATTCTTCTTCTTCTAGCTCGGAGTCTTCCTCTAGCGATTCTGAGGTGTCTGCTGAGGCTACCCCGGTTGTGTCGTGGTTTGTTCAGCATGGCCGAGGTTCAGTGCACCTGACGCAGAGGCAAGTGCAAGGCCGTCTGGTGCCGTGGTGCCGTGACATTCCCTTTGATGTTGCTCATAGTGAGCGGGGATATGGCATCGATATTGGTGCCGAGCGTAGCCTTTGTAAGAAGTGTGTGGCCAGGGCTCCCCCGGCTATCATTGCACGCTTTACTTGATGGCCTTGTGGCTTCTTCAAGTGTGCTTGGTGCTGTGAAAAGGGCTGCCTTGTCCTTTAGGTGCGTGTCCTGCGCCCGGCGGCATCCGATAGTGCATATGCAGCCGACTCTTTGTGTGCTCACAGCAGTGGTTAGCTATGGGATCAAGCTCCTCCTCGTTCGAAGATCATGTCGACCGGGCCTTTCGGATTTTGCTCATTTTGCCTAGCCCTTGGTTGGCTGTGATCAGGATGGCCGTGAGGCGCTATGAGGACCAGCCTAACATGACCGAGCCAGTGGCTATGTTTTACTCGGCATTACAGCCGGCGAGTTCGGGATCTTCAGCTTGCCACGGGAGTCGTGCAGAGGAGGTGAGTCCGGCAGCTTGAGCTAGGGCGATTTTGCATCCGTGCAGCAGCTACTTGCTAAAAGTTTGTGTATGCCGGGTGCTCTGTCTCGAGGCTGAAGCTTTGCATCGTTGTGCTCCGTGTCTCGCTCTGCCCTTCAGCTGTTTTGCTTAGGCATAGGGGTGCCTTTGACTTTTCGTCGGCCTGGCACAATGGACGGATCCGCTTCATCAGAGCCTCCGGGGAAACCACCACATGTGATGCTGCTTCAGATTGCTGCGCTCCCGGAGCCAGTGCTTGCATCGGTATGTCAGGCTCTTCCGGTGGAAGTGCGGCAGCGTCTTGTCAGGGCCCTGAGTGTGGATGCTGCGAGTCAGCCGGATGCGGGGCCAAGCGGCCCTACCACCTATGAGGATGTTGCTCAAGGAGCGGTCTATGCGCCTCCAGGGCACGAGACCACATCGACGATGCCATCTTCTTGCCAGCCGCCTTCTGAGGCGGTTCCTCGCCCGCCGCGAGTGCGCAGACCCAGATGTAAAGTGCTTTGCTCCTCAGGTTGTGGTAGGTTTTGCGGTCGTAAGGATAAGCCTTGGAAGCCACGGCCACATGAGGGTCACGAGTGCAAATTCTGCCATAGAGCAGGGAGTGCTTCGTCCTGAAGAGGCCTTTTGCTCCGGGCTTTGGCCGGATGCCTGCTGGCCTGGAGAGTATAAAGACTGCGGGTTTTGTGCCTGTACGGTCGGCTCTGCTGCATGGCTTGTGCGACCTGTTGATCCCCTTGCAGCCATTGTGGCTGAATAGGGGTGTGGGAGCAGGCTGTGTTGTGATCGCCATGGATGCTTTGCGAGGGGTCCTGCAAGCAGCTAAGACTTCAGATGAGGTGAACAAGTATCTTGTGGATACGCTTCGCTTAGCTTCACTGGAGGACTTAGTCTGTGTGGTGTCGGCTGCCACTTATGAGACTGAGTTGAAGACTTTGGTCACTGATCAGATTGCGGCAGTCAAGGATGTTCCGATTGAGTTAGCCAGGCTTAGGGCAGCTTGGCGTAGAGCCAAGGCGGAACTTCTGAAGGTGGAGGACAAAGCCAGGCGTGGGACTACGCCATCTGAGGAGCTCGACGAAACTTTGGAATCCACCGTGCAGGAGGATCTTATGTCTCGCTTCGCCAGATGCTATGGCCACCAGGTCTCAGTGCATATGGCTCCTTCTGACACCGTTTTAGCGAGGGTATACCGCGAGCTCACACGCAATTTGCCTACAGTGATCCCGCTGACGAAAGTGCGTAGCCTTTTCCAATCGCACAAGCCATCGGCGGAGAGGAAGATTTCCCTTGGTGGCAATGTTACAGTGAAAGTCGACGAACAAGAGTCGGCACCGCTGCGCAATGTGTTCGATTACTATCATGCGCTGAGGGTCCTTGGCAATGCTTATGCAATCGCAGGTTCCACTGAGCTTCCCAGCCAATCTGACCCGACCAAGGCCGTCAGGATGTGTCCTTTCCAGGTCCAGTTGGACTATGCCAATTTCGTCCTTCGCATGTCTATGCAGTGGGAAGCTCCGTTAGGATGGGTTAAGGTCAGGGATGAAGCCACCCGGGGCCGAATGGTAGAGCTCATGCGTCAGGGCTGGAGCCAAGGAGAGTCGTTGGCTAGAGCCATGTCCGAGCAGGAAATCCAGTGGGCTGTCACGCCTCCTCCGGTGCCTCAGCCGAAGCGTGCAGCCTCCGAGGATGGCTCATCACCGGGTGCCCCTCCGAAGAAGATGCTCCGCACTGGTTCGCACTGCCAAGGTAGAGAGATCTGCAAGCGCAAGAACGATCAGCGAGGGTGTTCCGACCCTTCTTGTGCTAAGGAGCATAGGTGTGACGTTTTGGTCAATGGTGAGGTGTGCGGCTCTACCAAGCACACTCGTCTGAATTGCCCGCATTTCCGAAAGTGACAGGGGGGCCGCCTGGCCATTTGCCAGGACCCGGGGCCAGGCGAGGCCACCCCGCTCGATGATCATGTGGCTACGCGAGTGATTTTGTCTGAGTGTGAGACTTCGTCTCCAGTCTCGACTGCTGTAGTGGATTCGGGGTCCCCTAGGCGGGTTGTTTCGGGTGTCGGCTCGGGTTCGGTTGCCTTGCTTAGGGGTTCGGTTCGGGTCCGCTTGTGGTCTGGCGCAAAAGCAATCGGCACAGGGCTACGAGAGGTTCGCATTAATGCGTCTGGCCCGGTTTCCCCAGCTGCTCAGGATTACGCGGCTGTGCCAGCTGCTTGGCGCACGGTCCGAGCTTGGGAGCCTGCCTCGGTTTTCGCCCCTAGGCCTGATTGGGCCTACAGACCGTGGCTGCGCGATATGGGCCTCAAGTATGTGGTCTACACTGGCGATTCGCCTTTGCCACAGATTCCCTGGAAGCTTCCATGGGAGGGTCCAATCCTTGTGATTTCGCTGTTTGATGGGATTGGGGCTTTGCTGGTTGCCCTGATGTGTATGGGGGCTGTCTTCTCGGCCATAGCTGTTGAGGCAGACTCTTCATTGACGCAAGCTGTGAGCATGTGTTTTGGAAATGTTTTCTTCCAGCATGACGCTGAGCACTTTGATACCTCTGTGCTCCGTTCGTTGCTGCATGAAGGGGGCTACACAGCAATTTTGGTCGCAGGGGGATCGCCTTGCCAGGATGTTAGCCAGCTGAATCGAGATCGAGCCGGTCTGAGTAGCCGTCGTACTCAGCTCTACCAGTGCATTCCGCGGGTTGCCAAGTTGTGCCAGGAGCTTGTTGCCGAGCTCAGCTTGGATATTCCTGTGTTGCAGCTTCTTGAGAATGTGGCCAATACACCGCGATCCTTTCAGGCTGCCGTTTCGCGCGAAATGCATGGGCCACCGCTGCATGTTCATGCTGGTAGTTTTGGTTGGTGTCGTAGGTCTAGGTGCTTCTGGGGTTGTGTCGGGGATAGAGCACTTGCTGCTTTGTCTGAGCCTCGCTTGTCGCACGGGGTGTCATGGGCGAGCCGTGGTGACTCGAAGCATCTGGTGTGGGCCGGCAAGAAGCCGTTGCCTGCAAAAGTTCACTTCCAGGATGCCTTTGCTCCGACCTTTGTGCCTGCTGAAGTCATTGCCAGTGGAGTTGATGCTTCCCCTTTCCCAACCTTCACGCAAGAGTTTCCTCACCAGATTGATTCAGATGCACGGGCTAGCCAGGCAGCTGTGTCACGCTTCAAGCAGGATCAGGGCCGATTTCCGGTCCACACGTATGAAAGTCATGCGCTCCTGTGGAAAGGAGATCAGTGGCGTCAGCCAACAGCGAGTGAGAAAGCTGCCATGATGTGTATCCCGTCCTCGCTTCTATCAGCTCTTGCTTTCTGCTTGGAGGCGAAACCCGAGGTTGCTGAGCGTCGTAAGGCTTCTGCAGTGGGCAATTCATTTCATGTGCCGTCGATTATGCTGGCTCTGATTCTTTTGTTCCAGCTGGTGCCGCAAGCGTGTGCTATCCCTACTGTGCGTTATTGTGCTATGGAGGAGCGGCTACGCCATCAGTGCCAGGGCACAGTTTGGCAGCCGGGGCTTGTTGATTCATTCCCGGGATTGTTATCGGCTTCGGATGTTTCTTTGCGCTTGACTGAGCTGTTTGCGGATGTAGATGTGGAGTTGCCCGCTATGCCAATCACACCCGATGTTGAGCGGGCACTCAAGCGTCTGCAGGTTTACACTGTGGATCGGATCCTCAGAGACCTGCCGATCAGCGAGATGGGCCCTGAGTGGGCACAGCAGAAAGCAGCCGGGGAGTCAGCAGCAGCTTTGGGGATCCAGAAGGGTGCCAAATTGCACCGTCATGCGATTGCCGCTTTGATTCCAGAGTCCATTGGCAAAAATACGCATGCGGTACTTAGTACATCCTTGCAATCTCCTTTTCAGACTTCGTCGGTGCTTGACGATGATGCTCGCTTCTCAGTGCGTGCCATGGTAGCCCTAGGCCCGTTCATTCGAACATGGAGACGTAAGCAGCTCAGAGCCTTGCTTTGTCTTGATAAAGCGCTGGATAAACTCAACAAGACCCTAGTCGCAGCGATGCACCCGTCGGTGTCTGCAGTTGCCTCCGATAAGAAGCCAGCCACTATGGCAGCCCTTGCAGTTATGCTTCGATGGCCGGATGTTACTTTAGGGCTTCGGTTCGTTCGGGGGTTTGGTCTTCTGGGGTTCATTGAATCTCCTTCTCTTTTTCGTGAGATTGTGCCAACCTTTCCCCCGGTGGTTGGGTTGCCGGCTCTCACGGGGGAGCATGCCCAGCTTATGTGTGCGAAGTTGCATGCGAATCTGCCCCAAGCTGAGTTCGCGCGCGAGGTCAAACAATTTGTCCTGCAGGAGATTAGTGAGGGTATCGCCGAAGGTCCATTCACTGAGGCTGAGCTTCATGCTCGTTTTGGCCGCTTTCAATGGGCCCCGATGCGGCGATTTATGCATCAGCAATCTTGCGGCAAGCTTAGGCCGATAGACGACGGCCGGAGCGGCGGCCATAATGCTTGTGCCGTAGCGACCGAAACAATCTTTACGAGTTCACCGGACTTCGTCAGTGCAGCACTAAAATTCTTCATTGAGCTCCTGGCGCGGACTGGTGATGACTCGCTGGATTGGGCTCAGCCTGTCTTTGGTTCTGAGGACATGTCTTCTGCTTACAGACAGCTGCCTAATATCCCATGCGAGGCTGCGGGATTGGTCCTGGCCTATTGGGATCCGGACCTTGACGAGGTTCGTTACGCGATCCTCAGGGCACACCCTTTTGGTTTAGCTAGTGCTGTGGTAAACTTTAATAGGGTTCCTTGCTTGGGTACAGCCTGCCTGCGCCGCATGACGGGTGCGTGTGTGACTCACTTCTTTGACGATTCCGGCATCTTGGATTTAACATCCGCGCATGGCTCAGCACAGGAATGCGTGAATGCCGTTTACCAGAGCATGGGAGTGAGGTTGGACATCCTGAAGCAGCAGCCTATGGCCACCCAGAGGCTCTTCCTCGGTGTGCTTTTGAATCTCTCCAGGGCTTTGTCGGATAGGACCATTTTGGTTGACATTAAGCCTGGTTTGCGCGAGACAATTTTCGCGGATGTCCAGAGAATGATAGATGCAGGCTCTTGCACTCCCAGTGAAGCGTCTAAGTTGAGGGGACGGATGGTGTGGGCTGCTTCGGCCATGTTCGGCCGGTGTGGCCGGGGTGGCCAAGGACCGCTGTGTGACAGGCAGTACGATGTTGGCCGTTGCGAGCTGGATGAGCCGCTCCTTGCAGCATTACGCTACATCCAAGCCTTAGTTAAGGTAGTCCCTCCTAGGCTTGTCCCGCTGCACTCTGTTCCCGTTTCCCCGGTTGTGGTTTATACAGATGCCAGTTTTGAGCCGGCAGAGATGTCTAGTCCCGGATTGGGTTCCGTCATCTTTGTCAGGGATGAACCGACTCAAGGCCGCGCCTCTTGGGTCCCAGCACAGGTGCTTGACAGTTTTGCTGACAGGGCTACGCAGATCGCTCCTCTGGAAGCGATGGCTGTGGTTTTGGCGACGCTCCAGTTTCGCCGAAAGCTGGCAGGTGCGGAGATTATTTGGTTTATAGATAATCAAAGCGTGTGCGCTAGCCTTGTACGTGGAGCCAGCTCCGTTGACGATATGTCAACTCTGGTTGCAGTGACTCATCTTTTGTGGGCCACTCTTGGAGCTCGCGTCTGGATTGAGTGGGTGGACAGCGAGTCCAATCCTTGGCATGAATTCCGAGAGTTGTCGCTCCTTCAGTTGTCGGATGCCTTGTTACGTTGGGCAGATGATACATTGGGGTGAAATTAGCCTGCTGCCAGGGCCGCTTTGAAAGGCTTTCAGAGAAAGCTTCTTTTATGCCAACGGACATACGGCCCCCTCGACTTCGGAGCTTGCAGTGTCCGAGTGAAAATGAAGACGAGCGTGCACTGCAGCCTTGACCTTAGAGTGATTGCATTCATATGCAGTTGCTTTGTAGCATGGCTGGTTGGAGTAGGGTCCAAAGCTCTTATATGAATCACATCACACCTTCCTTTTCCTAGCCATTGCGTCTCAGGGAAAGCGGAGGTCCTTTGATTTCCCGCCCTGACCCTTCCCTCAAAGTGGTGACTGCGAGGGTTGGGGGGCTTATCAGCCCCAGTGGCTGCAGTGCCATTCTGGCGTTTCATTAGTGTTGGTGGGGTGAAATTAGCCTGCTGCCAGGGCCGCTTTGAAAGGCTTTCAGAGAAAGCTTCTTTTATGCCAACGGACATACGGCCCCCTCGACTTCGGAGCTTGCAGTGTCCGAGTGAAAATGAAGACGAGCGTGCACTGCAGCCTTGACCTTAGAGTGATTGCATTCATATGATATAAATCCTGCATTACCTTAAGGACCCTAAAGTATGGGAATTATGATATATTGCTTATTATGGGTAATGCAGGATTTATATCATCAAGCGTATAAACCCTAAACCCAAAGCTCCAAGCACCAAACCGCTGAGCCTGGAAGGGGAGATTGGAATCTTTAGGTCGGTGTACTCGAATCTTACGAGTAGAGTTCTGCAGCCTAGGGTTCAGCGATTATGGTAGGAGGTTTCCGCCTTTAGAAATAAGGCCTTCAGGGTTGATTGTTGGGCTAGTATCGGCATTACTTAGAGGATCATGGGACTTAGTAAGTAGGTTATAATTGGGGTTATGGGGTTATCCTAATTATAACCCTACTTATAACCTTACTTACTAAGTCCCATGAGCCTTCAAGTAGTATTAGTATAACCACTGTTTGTGTTAGTATTATCCCCTGAAACTTGGAACATGGATTTAGGATGATTGGCGCGCGGGGATTCCCTGTACTTTACCATACTTCTAAGGGCGGTGGGTTAATAAGTAGATACATAAGTTAGTAATCGATTGTACAGTTTAGTGGGGATGGCTAGTCTAACATAGCAATTGACCTAAGTGCAGTTAGCAGGGTACAATTACAGAAGTTAGCCAAACACAGTTAACGAAGTTAGCATTTTACTAACAGCACCTTAAAACCATGATGATGCCCATGAGGATGATGAAAAATCCAATGTCGCAATGCAGGGCGATTCGCTCGCAGGCAGGATCAGAACATGAAAACTGTGACAATTCATGTGTCGCCATGCAGGGCGATTCGCTCGCAGGCATATATGCACAACAATCTTTTTTATGGCACGACCAGCATGCTGTCTGCACTCATGCGTTTGAAGAGGCAGGTTCGACTGATCTCGGCCACTCGCATGAACTGGGCTCCGTCCTGCTTGACCCGGAAGAGATTCTTCCCTTGTGGCTCAAGCACACTCAACAGAGCCAGGAGCTCGCCATGCTGCAACCGGCAAAACAACCACACCTCTGCAACGGACCCCGTCTTAAGCAGCACCAGGTCACCCCTCTCGCAAGTCTGTCCTGGGCAGACCTCGGCCTGCATGGCCGACTGCACATGCTCAAGAGTCTGAAACCCGAATGTCTGCCCCAGGTGCCACAGCAAAGTGCCATCAGTGACAGACTTGGGGGACTTCAAATGGGGCCGCATGAAGCCAGCATGCTCAGACAGATCCAGAAGAGCCCTGCCCAAAACATCTTTAAAGAGTGAAGCTTCGAACCAGTCGGTCACTTTCTTCGTGTTGTCAGCAAACTGCTTCACTTGCCGATGCTTTCGTTCGTGTGTAAAACAGGAAATCAGAGGCCTGTCTCGAGCCATCAGGGGAAGATGGAGGCTATAGTGGAACTTCGGTATACAGTGCTGCTCTCCATATGCTTTAAGGAAAGCTTGGCTATGGGCCCGAATCGCATTCTCGAGCTCGTCCGGCGACAGGTTCCCAGTCCGATTGCATTCAAGCAGGAGGTCGAGAACCATACAAATCTTCATAAAGGATCTGATGCATCGCCGAAGTTCGTCGTCCATTGTGTCAAAGTGATGAGTCAGCAAGAAAAGCCGCAGCAAGGGATAGACAGTGATGCACTGCGAAGCACCGGCCTTGAACTCAGAAGGTTTGCTCCTTTTGTCGAACAAATGCAAGATTTCTCTTCTCCGGTTCTTCAGGTTGTGAGGCCATTCGTACTCTGAGATAAAGCTCTGGATCACCTGAAATGTTGCACCCTGCACATGCAAGAGTGGCAAGAGTAAGCTCAATTCCACGTGCAGGAGGCCGCTTACCACATAACAATGCATCCAATCCCACATCAAGCATTTCACAAGCGGCATGCTTTTGTGAGCAAGCACTCCACATGGGTTGAAGTTCAAGCCCATGCTGGACTCGAGCAAGGAAAAATCCTTCTTGCTCAGGATGGGTTGCCTTCTCGCCAGCAGTGCCTGTGCAGTGAAGATCTGATTGTCGGTTCTGCGGACAAACAGATTGCTGTCGATGCATGATATGTCATGCAATTCTCCCGAGTGGTCATTTGCTGGCAGATCACCGTGGGTCTTGCTTGTTATGTTGGCACATAGCGGGCAAACCAAAGTCCCACTGGAGCCCTTGAAGTCGTACATAGATTTCAAAGCTGCCTCGTCTGCAACTACAGTATGCAGTTTCGCGAAGAACATGACCCGTTCCCCAGTTGGCATGTTCAGCAAACAGCCCGACTGGAGGTTCAGGAACGATTCCGAGGAGACCAGAATGTGGGTGAGTGCAGACAGCCCGCCCTGGATCTTGTTGACCACCGAAGACCGAGTCAAGTTCAAAGGGAACCAAAGGTTTTCTTGGCATCGGCCTTCGGCGTCAAACTCGAGAAAACTGAGGTAGTACCCTTGGATCTTCCTGGTGTTGCTGGCTTTTAGTTGGTTGCCAGGACTAATCTCATCATTGTTTCAAGCCATGCGCCATGGGCTGGTTGCTGTGCACGGGTACTTCGATAGCTGCCTTTGGAAAAAGGCAGCTACACCAGGCATGGACTGGCAAACATGCCATATCCATGCCATCAGGTTGAGGATCGGCAGCTCTGTCGGCACGATCTTCACCTCCTCGTCTCCAGCTGCCTTTCGGCTCTTCACCTCCACAGGTACTGTAATCTTGGCCACCAAAGGGCCATGAGGAGTCTCTGCCTCCAGCTCGGAATCCCGTGCCCTTTTGATGCCTCGCCGGGAGGCTGAGTCAAGGACTTCAGGGCATGCAGCCACTTCCTTCAGTACTGCCTCCAGTGCACTCTGGCTCACATAGTGCTTTCTGCCGATGGTAGCGAGCGACATAGATTATAAAGATGGCTGCCCGCGAGCAAAATGCCCTGCAGGCACCGGATATTAGAAGTAACAATTCTTACAATAAATATGTTTGTACATACAACATGTGTCAACCTGTCTATAAATCCTTGTCCCCACGAAACCTTCTTCAACACAACAAAAACCTCTGGATGCACGTATGATACAATGTATGCACACGATCTACAACTAATTTCTTATAATGGCTGGACTATATCTACCAATATATAATATCACGTATATATATATATATATAATATAATATATAATATATATATATATATATATATATGTGTGTAAGTATGTAACATACATACATATATATATATATATATACATATATATATATATATACAGGAGATATTTATACTTGCAATGCAGCATCAGACCAATCTGCAAGCCGATCCGATCACTCAGGTTTACATGCTGCCTGGCAAGACACACACACATGCAGCAGAAGAGGCAACATGATGTGCATAAGTGCATGCCTGCATGATGATCTTTTCCTCCCTCTGTGCTGCAGTCGACGAGTTCCCCACTCATCGAGCCGGTCATTTGAATCGGGCAAGCAGCTATTACTTACAGAAGCAGCTGGGCCTGCAGCCTGGTGCGAATCTGCATTTGCTGCAACCATTCGGGCGAAGGCTCACCCTTTTCTTCATGGAAAGATTGGCATAGTATTCTCTGCTACCGGCCGGGGCGGCTTTGGCCTTTGCACTGGCCTTTGCACTGGCCTTTGCAACGGCCTTTGCACTGGCCTTGGCACTGGCCTTGGCACTGGCCTTACTGGCTGCCTTTGCTTTGGCATGGGCTTTGGCCTTTGCCTTTGCCTTGGGCAAGCCTGCAGGCTTCTTAAGAATCCCCTTCTTCTTGTTGGCTGCATCTGCAACGAGCCCAGCCTGCCTCAACACTTCTGCCTCGTCGGCCTCGTCGTTTTCAGGATCACTCATCTCCAACTGCACTGCCGGCGAGACACCAGCTGATGCATTCGTTGCCGCCACAAGTGCTGCTTGCTGGACCGATGCAGATGCCCCTGCAGGTGCCTGCTGGGTTGCTGCTGCAGGTGCCTGGGTTGCTGCTGCAGGTGCCTGGGTTCCTGCTGCAGGCCCCTGGCCCATGGTGGTTGCCCCTGCTTGGCCTCCACCGGGTGCGAAGTACTGCATGTTCGGGATCGGGTCCTGCTGCTGCTTATTCTGGTCCTGCATGAACCTCTGCATCATGTTGTTCATGGTGTTCATCATACCCATCATCGTCATCCCGGGCTGCATGCCTTGCAGGCCCATGTTGAATTGCATGTTCATGGGGTTGTTGTTGCCACTTGCACACACTGCAGGCCAGCTCTGCATGCCACCGGCACCCATCATGTTTCCACCACGAAGCTTCTTCGAGCTCCCTCTCACCACGATTGCAGATGATGCTGCCTGCACCCTGTCGGGAGATTGCATCTGCACAGTGCATGCAGGATCCTCTTGAGAGTATGCATCGGCGAGCTCAGGGGGCAGATTGTCTGGCGATGCTGGATAATGCTCGAGGTGAAAGCCATTCTTGGGCAATCCTTTGGCTTTGCTTTTCAGCATTTTCT